CACAAGGCATTCAAGAATGCTATGTCTTGACAAACGTTGTCTTCAAAAGAGAGCATTCATGGTGGAGGAAAGCCAAGGCTCCAGAATTGTCTTGTCAATTCTTCACAGTCTATGACCTAAAAGAGAGATTCCAAAAATATGAGGCAAGAGGCAAGACATGTGAGGCAAATACTTAAAAATCAAAACACTGGAGGTGAGAGAAGAGGACACAAAATCAAGCAAGGAGGATGACATAGAACTAGGGCAAAACTGAAATAAACCAAAAGATAATAAAAACAGGTTATGTAGGAGGCAGAACAAGACATAGAACCAGGGATGGGGGAGTAGCTAAGTAGCGCGCTACTTTTTGTAGTTAGCTACAATATTTTCTAGCTAATAGCTGTAGTCGCTACAGTTTTATTAAATGTAGCTAGTAGCTGTTGGACCTACAAATTTTATGTAGCTATAGCGAAAATTTTCACTACAATTTCGCTACAGGCTTCAGGCAATCCGCGCTAAATTCAAGCAACAGAATGCGGTCGTTAACTGGGCTACTGACGACTGCGAAATCCTGACTGAGCCGCGGACAGCTCGAGCAAACGGTAACGCGCTCACCCCTTACTAGTAGGCTTAGCTCAGGGATCGCAACCGAAATGTTGAGCCATTTTATCCTTTCAACAAAAATCAAACCACTTTGGGAGCCACAACATTTTATGTCCGTTTTACCATCTTGGCTGTATGTCTCAGTATGTGCTGATAGTACAGGCTAAAAATATAATATAAACAGCAGCCACTTTTCTCTCATCTCAGGAAACTTTTCCGCGAGTTTCTTTCTCTCAGTGATCGACTTTTTACCAACTCGCGAAGCTGAAGCTGGTAAAAAGTCCAACTGGTTTCCTCATACGTTTAATCTCCAGCTTGTTTCCTCATACATTTAATCTGCAACAACTCGCGAAGCTGAAGTCGCTCCTCATCCTCCAGCTTCTCGTTCTAATTGTCCCGTTCCACCTTAAATGTACTGCTGCGCTATTTAAGGTGGAATGGGAAAATTCGAATGAGAAGCAGGCACAAAGTGCACTTTGTAGTTCTACAGTTACAAACTGTAGTCCATCTGTTTCTCTGCATACTTTGTTAGCCCCCTTTTACCCTGTTCATCAGTGGTCAGGACCCCCACGGACCCTCACAGAGCAGGTACTATTTGGGTGGTGGATCATTCTCAGCACTGCAGTGACACTGACGTGGTGGTGGTGTGTTAGTGTGTGTTGTGCTGGTCTGAGTGGATCAGACACAGCAGTGCTGCTGGAGTTTTTAAACACCTCAGTGTCACTGCTGGACTGAGAATAGTCCACCAACCAAAAATATCCAGCCAACAGCGTCCTGTGGGCAGCGTCCTGTGACTACTGATGAAGGACTAGAGGATGACCAACACAAACTGTGCAGCAGCAGATGAGCGACCGTCTCCGACTTTACATCTACAAGGTGGACTGAAGGTAGGAGTGTCTAATAGAGTGGACAGTGAGTGGACTAGGTGTTTAAAAACTCCAGCAGGACTGCTGTGTCTGATCCACTTGTACCAGCACAACACACACTAACACAACACCACCATGTCAGTGTCACTGCAGTGCTGAGAATGATCCACCACCCAAATAGTACCTGCTCTGTGAGGGTCCATGGGGGTCCTGACCACTGAAGAACAGGGTAAAAAGGGGCTAACAAAGTATGCAGAGAAACAGATGGACTACAGTCTGTAACTGTAGAACTACAAAGTGCACCTATATAGTAAGTGGAGCTGATAAAATGGACAATGAGCGTAGAAACAAGGAGGTGTATCTTGCTGAAATGTTTAAATTGGAGCAGTTTTATTTCAACAGTTGACAATGCTTTGCACAAAGTTGTTTGGTTTGTATTAGGTTATTTTTGTTGATTTTTGTTAGGAAAAACCTGAAATGATTGACTTTGCCTTTAGTCTAAATTCTTGTTGGATATCACACCTTTGGTTGTGTAAGTTTGATTGTTGGTTACATTTAAACTGACTTTTTGGTGATCTTTTTGTATATTTGCAGCTTTTCAATTGTATGTTTCTGGCACATGACTAAATGCAGTGTCGTGTTCACACTTTCAGTTGGGCTTGTTTGGTGTGTCAGGTGGAGATTCACAAACATTCTGACAATCACGCTCTTAAAGTAGCTAAAAAGTAGCCACTATTTTTTCTTGAAAAGTAGCTAAAAAGTAGTGCACTACTTTTCAAAAAGTAGCTAAAAAGTAGCCATTACTTTTTCTTGAAAAGTAGCTCAATTGTAGCTTGCTACACATTTTGGCAAAGTAGCTAATTACAAATTTTTCAGTAGCTATCCCAACGCTACATAGAACAACATTAACAAATATGCAAGACCTGACAAAGACAGGAAGAAACACAAGAGCTACTTATACACTTGGACAGGGAGAAACCTGCTGGGGAAACTATGACCACTCCTAAAGTAAGCTATGAAATCAAGCTTCACTGGGAGGCCAGCTGACTGAGAGGCCAGATGAGCTGGAGGCTGGGAGTTCATTGATGGAGGAATATTTCAAAAACATTTGAGATCGATGCTGACACAGCTTAACCACAAGTTAACAGGAGGTGGGACAGTGGGGACAGGGAGTTCCTGAGTCACAGGCAGGGCAGCAGCGAAATACTTGCTCAGAGGAACTGGAGCAGCTACAGTGGTGAGCACCATGCTCACTGTGTAACTATCAAACATTAGCTACTGTGAGCTAGGTGCTGTCTGCCTGGCAACAGAAGAGGGGCCTTTTATCCATTATCTGCTTCAGCTGTGACAAATCATTTGTTAGCAGGCAGGGATATAAGAGCAGATATGCCTTTTCTGGCCACATGCTGACCTGCACAAGCACAAGACAAATCTCAGACGTCTGGAATACTTTAATCATAAGAATAGGGAAAAACCTTCTCCCTCATGACAGCTCACTACCAAGCTCCCCTTAAGATGTGATCTCCCATAAACAGCTTTCACAAAGTCTTGTGGTGATGGTCCTAACAGATATTTAAAATAGATGGTACACTGCATACTGGAACTCTAGAAGCTCCACTCTTCATTATCAAATTCACTGGGTGGCACCATCTGTGAGCACAGGACTACACATCTCCCACCCTCTGAGTCAAGAGAAGGCGTTAAGTTACACTGAATTGCTCCTCTTGGTCAAAAATTTGTTCTACCACATTCATTTTGCTGGTACAGCCTTCTACCGCAGACATGAGACAGGAGGCAACTATATGTAAACGTGAGCAAAATACTTGAAAAACACGCAACCCAAAATGCCCAACCAAAACAAAGTACCAGAATGAATGAAGAACTAAAGCAAAACAGAAATAAATCAAAGATAAAAAAGCACTACAAATAACTGAGGAAAAGGCAAAGGAACAAAACAACCTAACAAAGACATCAAGATATGACAGGCAGCAATAGTGAGAAGACACGGTGGACTGAAGACTAGGCAGGGCAGAGCCTGCCCAGTGAAATCGTAACAGCAGAAAAGGTTGTGCATGTTTATTTGTTTCTGGGGTTGGGAACTGTGGTCAGAGGGCCAGTTTCCTGCACAGTTTCGGTGATGTTTCTGCAGAAACACACATGAATCACCTTAGCAATCAGTTACCAGATTTAATAGGTGTGCTAGAACAGGAATATCACCAAACTGTGCTGGACTCAGTTCCCAATCCCTGATTTATGTTTTAATTATATGCACTTCTTTGTTTTAAATGTAACTGTTTTGTTAATTTATCAATTTTCAACAGGCATATCAGCGCTATGCAGTAATTCATTTCACTAATGATGATGAGGTTGAGGCTGCACCTTCATCATGGTTGGAGTGGTGTGATGGGGTATGACTGTGTTTAAGTATTTTTACATATCTTATTATGACAAATAGAAACATTGCCAGATAAACAGTTATGGTCAAAGCATCCTGTAAGAGTTTTTTCAGAGACAGGTAAACTGTTCAAAATATAAATTTAGTTGTCATCAGTGTGAATGTTCACTTGCAACTGTTTCTTGAAAGTGTATCTACATATAAACAGTTTCATTTATTAACAAACTTCATGCCTCTTTATGTACAGATAGTTATGCTTTGGCCAGACACCGGGCACGCAAAGCCCAAGAAACATCACATGTTGATGAATCTGATGGGGTTGCATCAAGGAAGATCATTCTTCCACATCGATTCAGAGGTATTCAGATGAATGACAAGTACGAAAGTTATCTCTTAGTTACTGTCAAAGATGATATAAACATACATAGTTATATGTTTATCTTGCAGATGAAGATGTCCCTCCCTTGCAACCCAGAAAGAGAAAAACTCCTCTGTGTAAGTGTGTAACAGCTTATTAGGCACACCTGCCTTTTACCCACATTCAATGGCCATTTAGGTACACCTTGTTGCCCATCTGTTCCTACACAGTTTATTAGCCCCCCTCTACCCAATTCATCACTTGAAAAAGTTACACCATATGACCGCTTCTGTTCAGACATTATTTGGGTGGTGGACCATTCTCAACACAGCATAGTATATGGCATGGTAGTGTGTGTTTTGATGGTATGAGTGTTTTAACACGGTAGCATTGCTGAGGTTTTCAAACAGTACAGCACATGTACAGTCCTGCTCATCATTATTGGCACCCGTGAAGTTTAAGTACATATTGTGGAATATCCCCTGAAAAAAATAATCAACTGAAACAGTTTTTTTGTATAGAGCACTCATATTTAAAACAAAAGAGCAAACTATAAACAACAATTTAAAACAAAAAACAATGTGAGGGAAAAACAGAAAAAACCTAAAGCTTGCTGTGACACTGGTATTGGCACCCTTTACATTAAATTAGTATGGAAACACATTTTCACTCACCTGTGGTAAATCACAAATGATAATAACCTGTGACAAATTCAGTGCCCATGTGACATGAATTAGCCAATGAATGATGACTTCAGGGTTTTAAAAAGCCATACGTTGGGCCATGTTCATTTGTTACAATGGTGAAGACAAAGGAGCTGTCTGAGGACATCAGAAGTGCTATTATTAGCAAACACAAGACTTCCAAAGGGTATAAGGCCATCTCCAAAGACCTTGGTATCCCAGTTTCAACAGTGCGCAATGTTATTAAGAAGTTTGCCTGCCTGTCAAGAACCTCCCTGGACGTGGGGAAAAGAGGAAAATTGACAAGAGAAGTCTTCGAAGGTTGGTGCGAATGGTGGAAAAAACACCAAGGCAAACATCCAAAGAACTGAAGGCCAACCTGGAACAGTCTGGGGTCATGGTTTCAACAAGTACCATACGCCGCACACTAAATCATGCAGAGCTTTATGGGCGAAGGCCAAGGAAGAAACCATTGCTAAAGAAAAGACATAAAAAGGAACGACTGATCTTTGCCAAAGAGTACCTTGACAAACCACAATCATTCTGGGACAATGTTTTGTGGACAGGTGAAACAAAAATAGAGCTTTTTGGCAATGCAAAGCAACAGTTTGTTTACAGACGGCGCAATGAAGCTTATAAGGAAAAGAACACCCTACCAACAGTTAAGGATGGTGGAGGATCCATAATGCTGTGGGGTTGCTTTGCTGCGTCTGGTACTGGAGGCCTTGACCGTATCACAGGAATCATGAAATCAGAGAATTATCAAGAGATTTTAGAGCGAAATGTCCTACCCAGTGTAAGAAAACTTGGTTTGAGCCGAAGATCATGGGTATTCCAGCAAGACAATGACCCAAAGCACACATCCAAAAGTACACGGGAATGGTTTAAAAGGAAAAAATGGACTGTTTTAAAATGGTCAGCAATGAGTCCTGACCTCAATCCCATTGAAAATCTTTGGGGTGAGTTGAAATCTGCCATTGGGAAACATTCAAGAGCTTGAACAAACTGCAAAGGAAGAGTGGGAAAAAATACCAGCTGAGAAGTGCAAGAAGCTTATAGATGGCTACAAGAAACGTTTGGAGGCTGTCATCACAGCCAAAGGGTGTGCAACCAAATATTAACAAGGGGTGCCTTTATTGCTGCACATGCTGTTTATTCTGTTTCTTCTTTAAAATTGCAACATGCAAGTTGAAAAACAATGTTTTTTTTTTGTTGTATTACTTTGGACCTCCAATTAAAAAATCCTGAAGATATAACTTTGGTACATTTACATTTATTTCTGAAGATATTGTACAGGTTATGCAAAAAAGGAAGGGGTGCCAATAATGGTGAGCAGGACTGTATCAGCCACTTAATTAGAAACACTTACCTTATTGGTACAATTGGCAAAAAAGAATGAGAATGGTCCACCACCCAAATATTTGGTCAAAAGTGGTTCCCTTCCATTAACAGATATGGCAGAGGGTGGCTGACAAATTAGAAATAGAACGGTTTTGGCTACAGTCAGTAAATGTGAACCTACTTACTCATATGGTAGGTGTATTGGATAAAATGGCCAATGAGTCTTAGTAAAAGTGTAATACCTAATAAACTAGCAACTTAGTGTTTGTTTGAAATGTTCAGAGATCATAATCAGAAGTTCAAATATTTATTTTCTATTTTATAGTTGATGAGCTGGACCAAGAAGGTAAATATAGGGTAGTTTTCTGGAATGTTTACATGTTTTTTATATGATTACTTTTGCATACATCTGTATATATAATTATAACTAATATATATATACACATTTATATATATCCTTCTCTGTTTACAATATTTTCAGATGATGTGGGTTTTCAAAAAAGAAAACGACCTAGACGTTTACCTGAGTGTAAGTAAAACTTTATTATATAAATTGTTACATTTTATAGGTTTCACCTAATGATGGAAAACAGGTTTCTTAAGAATAGGACATTCTACAAATGTTTGAAAGGTAATTAAGAGAAGATTTCATGGATTCCAGCTAATGATGTCAAAATGTTCCTAGAAAAAAAATATTTGAAAGGTAGCCTAAAAAAACTTCCTTACATTTACAAGTGTAAAAACATTCTTTTTTTCCCCTCTCCTCAGCTGACAAGACTGATGAAGGTAAAGAAACTACAGTTTCATTTCTAGGAATGCAAAGAAACATATCTGATTTTGCATGTCTTGGACATATATGATTTCTGTCTTTTTTTGGTAACGTAGATGAACATGTCCTTCAGAGGAAGATGAAAGACAAAAGATCAACATTGCCCAAGGCACCTGAGTGTAAGTAGAGCTTCACCTTCATGTGTACATATAGAGTAGATACTGATGGAAAAAAGTAGATTTAACCAAACCTCATAATCAAGTAGCATTGATTTAAAAATTGAAAGGTAGTGGGAGGGATGAGTGAAAATGCAGGTTATCTCTAAAAATCTTTTATACTATGGGAGAGAACTGTTGTCAGAGCAGCTTTCCCTGCAAGCCAATTCATCTTATGCATGATATCTGACAATCTCATGTGTGAACTTAAGTGTTAAAGTTCTAGTCATAAGTTTGCTGAATTTGTAAGATGTGTACCATTCTTTAAATAAAACATGAGTAATCAGGCAAAACACATTTCTTTCATTTTAATGGGTTGCAGATTAAATTATAAAGCATCACAGAACAGCACACTTATTAAACAAAACAAAACGTAAATACCTGTCCCTGTTCAAAAGTTTGCATACTATTAGTTCTTAATACCGTATATTGCCACCTGTAGCATCAATGATGGCTAACAACCATTTGTAATAGTTGTGGATGAGGCTCTTTATTTTCTCAGGTGGTAAATTTGTCTTGGCAAAAAGCCTTCAGGTTGCGTAAATTCTTTGCTTGTCTTGCATGAACTGCATGTTTAGATCTCTTCAAAGTGGCTCAATGATATTGAGGTCAGGAGACTGTGATGGCCACACCAAAATCTTAATTTTTTCTACTGTAGGGTTGGCCTAGTGCCTTGTGTTCGGAAGTCCAAGTGTGTACCATGCACAACGTCCAGGCTGATGAATACAAATTGTACCCCAATACGGGCTGTTTGTGGCATTAGCACATTAATTGCTTTTTTTCTGGCAACTCAAATGTGCAGTCCATATTTGTTTAAGTACTTATTGTGCATCTTGAAACAGCCATACCACTTTTTTTTGGCAGAGAAGCCTGTTTTTCAGCTGAAGTGGCTTATGGGCTGTTCTTTGCATCCTAACCAATTTTCATGGCAGTTGGGCCTGAAATATTTGCTGTTTAACCCGACTGTGTCAGAACCCCTAATTTCCCACCTTTTTTAATCAGAGTTTGAGCAGTACTGACATTACTGGTACTTTGAAATCTTTGGATATCTTTTTCTAACCTTTTTCTGATTTATGAAGTTCAACTACCTTTTTTTTTACAGGTCCTTTGACAGTTCTTTTGGTTTCCCCATGACTCAGTATCCAGCAAAATCAGTGCAACCCTGGATAAAATGTACAGGGGTTAATGTTCAGTTATCATTATGATTTTAAAAGGGAACACACAAATATGTGATAATAAATGGCTTCATCTGACCACTATTCCTAAATAATGGAAACATCTTTTGCATGATCAGTCACATCTTCCAAGAAATGGCCAATATTTCACAAATTCCTCCAGGGTATGCAAACGTATGAGCAGAACTGTACATCTTGAATAAACAATATTTTCTTTATGGAATCTCTTTTTGTGTAGGCACAAACACAGTTTAGTGATATAATGTCAGCTTACTGTTAATTTGTGCAAGCACATTGTTTCCCGTTTGTAAACAGTTGCTATTTTGCAAAAGAAAGTATGGGTTCCCAATATCTATTTTGGAGATATACTACGCAGATTTTTGTGCTTCCCCTCATACAACCAAATATAACTCATTAACTAATGAACACGTTTTTCATGTACTTAATCGAGTGTGTTGCATAGGGAAAACCCATGTGTCACCACCATGACAAAAACTGGGTCCATCGGTGCTGTAAATGAAACGTTGAAAGTTTAAATTTAATTAAAAGAGGAGAAAGTTAGTTAAAGTTATATGTTAATCCTCAGGTTTTAATGTTTAGTTTTATTTTGTTTATTTGCAGGCAGATGCTCCATCCACTTCCACTGCCCCTCAGTTACAAGGTACAAACAATGCATGCAGAAGTTAAAGGGATACAATTCAACAAAAAAAATCTAATTTCCATAGTAGTTTTCCACCAAATATAGGCTAGTCAGTCAAGTGAACATTTAGTGTCTGAAATTTGTTTCTTTAGATCTACACTGGACTTATATTCTTATTTTATTGAGACTATACAGTTAAAAATATCAGCACAACCTCAAATTTTAATACACTTTGTATTTATTTCACAGCAGATGTTCCAACGTCCAGTGGCCAGGAAGGTGATTTCTGAGACTATTACTTCTCTTTGTGTTTTTTATTCTTATTGTGAAGTATGGGGGAGCCACTATAATCACTCAAACAATGCAAACAATCTTCATTGTTATTATTAGTCAAAATTATATAATAACTTGTATAACAGTCACTGTTTTTTTAGTGTTTGTTGCTTTATACAGGGAGATTCACTCGAAAGAGGCCCTGAATATTCTATTGTAACTCCCGGAAGTTGCAAACAGAGGTTAAAGTTGAAACAGCTGTCCAGCACCTACCTCATTGCTCCGACGCAGGGGCATCCCGGCTTGTTCAAAGCTCCATATACTGAGGAGCACATTGCACATTGTTTGCTTCAGATTGCTACTTCCTAGAGAGAGTTATTACAGAATATTCAGGGCTTCTTTTGAGTGAATCTCCCTGTATAATTGATTTAACTTATTTACTGGTTACTTTGCAGAAATTCTGAAGTTATTTGAGGCTTTTGAAAGAAGAGTCCTGCTGAAACTTACACAAATGCATGAGGAATTTAGGGACGCCATCGGGAGATTACTGGAGAAGAGCACAGGTCAGCCAAGTTCCTCCAGTGACACATCAGAGATGTTAAATGAGCCATGCCAATCAACAGAGGACTTGGAAGCCCTATGCAGTAGACTGCAAGAACCAGCATACTGTAAAAAGATGGTGCGTACTGAGACTTGTGCATTTCATTACATACAACAATAATTTTCTGTTTAAACTTGCGAAAGATGCGAAACGTTCCAGAGCCCACCATTTATGACACTCGACACTATGCTGATGCTGCTATATCAAAGGACTGTTCTACATACAACCCAATTTTCAAAAAAGATGGGATGCTATGTAAAATGTAAATAAAAACAGAATGCAATGATTTGCAAAACATTTAAATTTCATGTTTCATTCAAAATAGTAGACATATAACATATAAACATATAAAATGTTGAAACTGAGAAATTTTATTGTTTTTTGAAAATATATGCTCATTTTGAATTTAATGCCAGCAACACATTTAAAAAAAAATGGGATGGGGCCAACAAAAGACTGGTAAAGTTCAAAAAACACCTGGTGGTTAATGGGCAACAGGTCAGTAAGATGACTGGGTATATAAAGAGCATCCCAGAGAGGCTGAGTCTTTCAGAAGTAAGGATGGGAAGGAATTTAACAGTCTGTGAAAAACTGCACAGGCAAATAGTGCAACAATATCACTAAAAGATTCAGAGAATTCAGAGAAATGCCTGCTCTGGGCCTGAGCTCATTTAAAATGGCTTGAGGGAATGCAGAAAAATGTCCTGTGGTCCAACAAATCAAAACTTTCAATTCTTTTTGGAAATCATGGACGCTATGTCCGCTCAACTAAAGGCCACCCAGCTTGTTATCAGTGCAGAGTTCAAAAGTCTGCATTCATGAAGGTATAGGGGTGCATTAGTGTACATGGCGTGGGTGACGTGCACATCTGTGAAGGCACCATTAATGCTGAATAATATACGTTTTGGCAACATATGCTGCCATCTAGATAACGTCTTTTTAGGGAAGGCCTTGCTTATTTCAGCAAAACAATGCCAAACCACATTCTGCAGGTATTACAACAGCGTGGCTCTAAAGTAAAAGAGTGTGGGTGCTAAACTGGCCTACCTGCAGTCCAGACTTGTCACCATTGAAAACATTTGCTGCATAGTGGAACACAAAATATGATAATGGAAACCCCAAACTGATGAGCAGCTGAAATCCTATATTAAATAAGAATGGAAAAACATTTCACTTTCAAAACTACAACAGTTGGTCTCCTCAGTTCCCAAATGCTTACAGAGTGATGTAACAGACTGGTAAACATGCCCCGTCCCAACTTTTTTGGAACATGTTGCTGGCATGAAATTCAAAATGGGCATACATTTTTCAAAAAAAAAATCTCAGCATATTTTATATGTTGCCTTTGTACTATTTTCAATGAAGTGTAGACTTTATTTGATTTGTATATTGTTGCATTCTAGTTTTATTTACATTTTGCACAACGTCCCAACTTTTTTTTTGGAAATGGGGTTGTATTTTACAGTTTAGTTTATCCTGAATAATTTGCAAAAGAAGGAGATAATTTTAGGAATTTTGCCCAGAGGATGGAACACGTTCTTGGCAGTGCAGGGTGCAGTGCATACTTTCCACTAGAGCAATGATCTCCCTCCACCTGGAGAGCTACCTCTGTCAAGTCTAGTTCCATTCACAATTTGCCACATCTGCTCCAGCTAATCAACCTCTTCCCAAGTCCTTGATTGGCTGGATCAGATGTATTAGTGTTAAATAAAGGGCAGGTTGGAACTAAACTCTCCAGGAAAGTAGCTCTCCAGGACCACGACTGAAGACTGCAGCACTACACTGTCTAACCGTTATCAATATTGAGTTAATTGATGGTCTCACTAGAAAGAAACAGCGCCGTCTTGTGGATTAATAAAATTATATTTTTGTCATTTATTAGTCTTATAATGAGCTACACACAGATTAAAATGTAAAATTTTAATAATTACATAATAAAATATGGATACTTGGGCCTACATATATCAAAACTATTTAAATCCAAAATGTTGCAAAACTGTACTGTATTGTTTTTTCTCTCTACTTATTATTATAACTGCTTGCAGATCCAATATCTGAGTCTCCAAGGGGGCGGCAGCTTGGGAGATGTTGTACAGAGGATGCTGCGAAAAATTGGAAGCAACTTCCTGTGGTCTGAATACAGTTTCAAAGGAAGAAAAGGAAAACGATCTTTTGAGCGACTCCCCATCAATGATGTTATCATACGTAAGTTTGATCCTTCAGAAAAATTACAGGTTAAATTAAATTCCATTATAATATTATTGTTACTATTAAGATAATGTTGGTAAGAAGGTTTATTAAGATATGGTCCAGTTTTATCGGAGAAAATACGGAAAAAGCTGATATTTTCAAATGTATTTCAAAAAGGTGCATGCAGCAAGTGTTATCCAGAAGCAAAATGTCAGGCGATTGATTTGATTGCTGTCACGCTGAAACATGCGCCACATCGTGGAAGGACAAATAATCAGGTGAAACTACTATTATTACTACAAGGCTTTTTCTATCATAATAATAATAATAATAATAATAATAATTATTATTATTATTATTATTATTATTATTATTATTATTATATATTATTATTATCAATAAAACAGCAACAACAATAATAATAATAATTATTATTATTATTGTGTATTATATTTAATAGTAATAATTACCATTTTTCCTGGCGTTTTTTGGAAACCTGATTTGAGTTAAAACCTAAATTCTGAATTGAACTGGTCTATATATAAAAACAGTCTTTGATTATGGAATGAATCATTTAAGTGTTTAAGCCTAAAACTCTCGTGCACAACTCACAAATCTTTGGAATCGCCCTAATCCCTCTCTTATGGTGCCCCTGGTTAAATGTTACTACTTATACTACTTCCAAAGTAACCCGACCTATTAGCAGATAATAGATGTTTAATTGCCAGAGCTCACAAAATTTAATGTTAACAAATGTGTTTCTTTGTTTATTCTTTTAGGCCCGTTCAGACCAAGAAAGAGGAGGAGAGGAGGCTTGAAACTGTTACAGCTGCGCGCAAACAGATCTCAGCAATGCAATATTTTTTTCATATCTAATTAAAAATAAAACAAGTTTACAGCCTATCACTTCTTATGTGTATTGCTCTTCATATTAGTTTATATTTCATTATATATTTTGGTATTTTTTAACACTAAGTGCTGCCAATATTATCAGTTTTAAGATGTATTTAAAACTGTGGCTCACATGCTTCGCTTTTACTTTACTTTGCAACACTCTTGCATGAAAGCAAGAGCTTTCAAGGTTGTGTGTTTTTTGTGTTGTTGTTTTTCACAATAACATGCTCCTTGTATTCTATTGTGAATGCCTTTTCTTTTTCTTGTTGATTTGTATTATTTATTTTTATACTGTCTACCTTTTGTATTATTTTCATTCTTATGTTTTGTCAGGTGAGTGTTGTCATTGAGGAAATGTGATCGGATAAAAAAAGGTGACATGCAGCCGAAAGTGTTGGCAGTTGAATAGAAAAGGAAAGTTAAGGACACTGGCTGTAGAAAGTGATTTAAAAATGATAAAAGAAAAGTGCGAAACAGAGAAAATGGAGAAAACTCATGAGAAATTCCTTTTTTACAAAGTAGTGTACAGGTTCGGAAGATAAAAAGGATTGTACAGTATGCTTTATCGCAAAAGATGCCTTGTTGTCGTGCTAATGGTGGGTCCACTGTCAGGTTCAGTGGTAGGTCAAGGTTTAGGTAAAGTGACCAGAACATTAAATACTCAAATGATCATCCTGTACACAGATGCTCCACGAGGAAAGAGAAAGAGAAAGGAGGAAGAATTCTGGACTGTTCCGGAGGGAACAACTGAGGTTCCCAACATTGAAGCTCCAGCAGGGAAGAGGGTGAAGCAGGCAGTGAACCAGTCCAAGAGAACGAGTCAGGGACAGGAAAAAGCCACTGAGCCAGGTCAGTCCACCTGCCTCCATACTGTAAAACTAAATGCTGTCATTGAGAAAATGTGATTTGATAAATAGGGCTAATATGCAGCCAAAAGTGTTGGCAGTGGAGTAGAAAAGGTGGGTAAAGTGACCAGAACATTAAATATTCAAATGATGGTTATTCTGTGTTCAGATGCTCCACGAGGAAAGAGAAACGAGGAGGGATGCAGCCAGAATGTTGCAGAAAGAAAACACAACAATCCCAACTCTGACAATCCAGGAAAGAAGGGGGCAGAGAACCCGCACACAAGAATGTCTCGGGGAGAGAGGACAACGACTGAGCCAGGCCCGTCCACTGGGCTGACAACTGTAAACTGTAAACATTTAATTTCACTTCGTTCTAAGAGAGTAGTTATCTAAATTAAGTTCACAGAAAGTAGATTCCACTGCATCCTTCATAGCCAGTAATGTTGATTTGTAAACTCCTGATACATTATCTAAAGATGGCTGTCCTTCATTTGTAACATTATTTTTTTTTCCATAGACGCCTTCGCCTCCAACTACGTGACTGGAGAAAAACTGGGCAAAGGAGGCTTTGGGTCTGTCTTCAAGGGAAGACGCATTTCCGATGGCCTACAGGTTCTGCTCACTCCTCAAATTTCTATTTAACATCATTATTTCTCCTCCTCTCTTTTCATTGCTAGAAATATCAATGTCTTTTTTCTTTGTGTGTAGGTGGCCATCAAAGTTGTGTCAAAACAGGAAACCAATACCCGATATCTCCGAAGTGTAAGTGCATCTACTTCTAGTAACACATGATGGTCACAAACAGCCCCTATGTTCTTCACCTCACCATCAAACTCTACTTTCCTACAGCCTGTTGACTCCAGGGCCGTGCCTGCGGAAGTGGCTCTGATGCAGATGGTGAACCAGCCACCTTTCTGCAAGAACATCATCCGGCTCATCGAGTGGCTTGACGAGCCAGACCAATACATCCTGGTCCTGGAGCGCCCTGACCCTTGTGTGGACTTGTGGAGCTTCCTTGACAACTTAGGAGGTTACGCTGATGAAGAGATGGCCCGAACCATGATGCTCCAGGTCGTGGAGGCAGTGAGCCAGTGCAGCCTGCGAGGTGTCCTGCATCGGGACATTAAACTGGCGAACCTTCTGATCAACACGGACACCTCAGAGGTCAAGCTGATTGACTTTGGGTGTGGTGATAAGATCAAGAGAACGGGGTACACTCAATATAAAGGTAAATATAGATACTAATAGCTTCCCCTTGTTGAGAATCTCTAGCCTGCTAAAAGTGACAGAGTGAGTGAGTTACCAAACAGGTCCATGAGGTTTTTCACATCTAAAAACATCATCCTGAAGGGAGAATAGTGTGTTTTAGCTGCTTAGTTGTTAAATGGCTTATTGTGCTCACCTGTGCTTGTTTCTTTCCTTTGTTATGTTCTCAGGCACATCATTATACTGCCCTCCTGAGTTTCTTCTAGAGCGCAGGTATCATGCCAATCCTGCAACAGTTTGGTCACTTGGTGTCCTGCTGTTCAGGATGGTTTGTGGATACTTTCCCTTTGTTGATAAAATGGACATCGTTCAAGGGCGTCTGGACTTCAGAGCTGGCCTATCACAGGGTAAGATAAATGGGAGCGTTAATTAGGCATATCTAGTAACTAAGTACAGAGGAACAGAAACTGAAAACATAACTTATAGTTAGAGAGGAATATGCAGGGTAAAAGCTGAAGAGTTTGCAGTATGGCAAGGATAGATGTCTTTAAATGTATGTGTTTAAAATAGTGTATTTTTCATGTTATAGTTACAGCCCAACTTTTCACTCGTAGTCCTTCTGAAATGTAGTGGTTAAGCATCTCTCTCACATCCATTCTCCTCACTCTGCACAGAATGCCGTAATCTGATTGAATGGTGCCTCAAGCACGACCAATCCGAGAGGCCTAGTTTTGAGCAGATCAGGCAGCATGAGTGGTTCCAGCGCACCGTCCAAGGCTAGGATCAGTTTAGCCAGGGAGGCTAGGAGGAGAAGCAGTAAGCCTAAAATATCTAGTGACAAATGAGGAGATAGTGTAGTGAAAATGATGAATTAAGATTAAAAATTAAGATGTATTTATTTTATGTATGTAGCCTCAGAAGTGCCTCTAGTGCTGACTATTGCAAATCTTGGTTTATGTTTCAGGTTGAGAGTGGCAGTTAAGAGGAGATCGCGAAAAACAACAAAAGCGCCAAAACACTTCTCCATGTGGCTACAGACTACCAGAGAAAGAGCAGCAACAAATGATTGAGGACAACAGCAATGAAAAAACAGTGGAAGGAAACAAGTAAACAGCAGTAATAAAAAAGGACAATGACAGGACGTTTGACAGTGAGAAAAGAACAATGACTGAAAAAAGACAACAGTGAAAGGACATAACAGTTAAAAATCTGGCAGTATATTCCGGACTTTATTTAAGTTCAGATGCAAGTTTGAAAATTCGAATGCAAATTTAAAAATGCTAATTCATTTGTTTATTTATTAGGGGTCGACCGATATGTTATTTGCAGAGCTGATACCGACACAGATTATCAGTTTATTAAGGACATCAATAACCCATTTTTCCGGCCGATATTCATTTACCATGAATTGGATGTTTGTAGTGCAACTCTTACTCACAACATACATTCAGTTAATACTGTCTAATGTTCAGTGAACATTAGAACATTACAAGAAATTAAGTGCTTTGAGGTTTAGACAGTATAGGCTGCAAAATAGTAACAAACATTTATCTTCAAGATAATAAACAGATGAAATAAACAACTTAAATAGCTCTCAATGACATTTAGCATTCAGTGACATTTGGAAAAACAATGAAGCTCAAAAAAGGGCCCAAAAGCTTTAAATCCAAATATTTCTACAAATATTTTTTATTTCCACAATTCAAGTTAATGACAGCGTTAAAAGGGCACACATCAGGAGCGGAGCTTGCCTTTTCAGTATGTAGAGGGAATTGAGAAAACCCAGATACAGAATAAAAACTGTCTAAATAATCCGATAATCTGAAAAATGCTGGATATCGGATCTGATTTTCTGTCGGTCTGATAATCGCTCAACCCCTAATATTTACAGTTGTGAATGTGCATTATTGATATAATACAAAGTCAAATGCAATTTTTTGCATTTGCATTTCTGTATATTATGACTGGAAAAAGTTAATGTGGAAAAGCAAAGAGCTTTTGATATTGAATTTTCAATTTTGCCTTATTGATCTGACTGACACATTATAACAGGAAAAACAATTGTCCATTTGCATTTCCTTATCGTGGCGCTTCAGCTGTGCTAAAATGAAAATGGAGTCCTGTTTGCAAGTGCATTTTTACTGTTACTGAGGCTCCCTGTCAATCAAAGACTCTGGGTGGGACATCATTGGCCGTCCTCCAACAGTCCCTCGAGCCTCTGCCCTAAATTATCCTACTGATAGTTTTATATATGGCGCTACCTATAAATATGCGCTGTGGTAGATGAGTGCAGTCAGCTTCCTATTCCAATTTTCCCATTCCACCTTAAATTTCGTTACAGAAAGAGGATGTGCATTTTATATCGCATTTTTTTCTCCTTGAGGGGTCTGTGATAAAGTATTGGCCAATTCATTGCGGTAGGAATGTAACTGCCAATTTCTGGTTACAGATAGGCAGAAATAATATACTTTTAATTACAGGTACTAATCTACAACTAATACAATATAAAATCATCCACAGAATACATTACACTGGACAAAAGATGTTCAAAATGGGATTTACCAGCTCTGAAATCTGTTCTCATTGCGCATAGAATACCACAGATAATTAAACTGTAAACTGTAAAAATATTTGCTTCCATCAAACACATAAATACTCAGTTTAACTTGACCTGGACACCAGTTATCAACTTCTTACAACAGTAATTTTCCCACTAAATCAACTTTACTGGAGAAGCAGATATACTGAGATCCAATACCCAGTTTCAAGCTACTCTATACAATCATAAACTCTCTCCCCTTTATTACCCCACACACAAACGAATTCTATCGCTATACAGCAAAGCTGATTCTTAGGACACTCCTGGTGTTGTTGACATTTGCTTTTCATTAAGTCCAATGCTTAAGTTGTCATTGTTATTACTGTTATTATTATTAATTGCATGTACTTTTTTCCCATCTGTTGTTTTTGTCTATTTGTTTGTTTTTGCTTATATATCCTCCCTCATGAATGTATTACAAATAAAAATAAAGTTTTAATTGTCCTCCGATGAGGGGGGGGTTGGTGGTGGGCAAAAAAAAAGAAGGAATGTATCTGCTACCTCGTTTAAGGTGGAACCAGAAAATTTGAATAAGAAGCTAATTCGGCTTCGTCTATGGAAGGACATCTTGACAAAGAAGCACAATTCACAACACCTTTCAACTTGTCAGTAACATTAGTGCTTATTACATTAGTGAATCACTTCCACACAAAAATCCCTTTGGGACAGAATAATTCTCGGCCTGTTTAGCAAGTGTTATGAAGTCACTCAGTGGTTGCTGCTGCTACGTCTGTATTCTATTAAACAAGCATCTAGTTGAACCACAATTTCCAAAGTTGAGACTCGTCACGGCCTCTTAACACACGCCCCACCATTACAAAGTTCCTCCCACAGCGTTTGATTGACATGAAGCCTCACTGACAGTTAAAACAAGATTGCAAACAGGATTGCAGTTGCATGGACAATTATTTTTTTTTGTTTTTTTTATATGTCAGACTTTTAAGACATTGAAAATAAAATGTCAAAAGCACTTTGCTTTACCACGTCAACTTTGTCCAACCATTATACACAGAAATGCAAATGCAAATATATCTTGCATTTGAATTTGATAATAATAATACACACTCATGTTGGAAATGCAATTATACACAACTGAATTTGTATTTGAATTTGAAAAAAGTCTGGAGTATGGTGCCATAGAAAAAGTACAGAATAAGGACAACGAAAGTAGGAAAAAAATGCACAACAGCAGTGAAAAAAGACACGAGTGAACAAAAAGACAACACTAGTGAAAAGAGACAATGACAGTGAAAAAGGATAACAACAGTGAAAAAGAACAACAGTGAAGAGGACAATGACAGTGAAAAAGGACAACTATAGTGAAAAAGGACAACAGCAGTGAAAAAGCACAGTGACAGTGAAAAAGGACAACAGTGAAAAAGGACAACTATAGTGAAAAGACAACAGCAGTGAAAGGATAACAACAGCAGTGAAAAAGGACAACAGCAGTGAAAAAGCACAGTGATGGTGAAGAAGGACAACAGTGAAAAGGACAATGACAGTGAAAGTAAAAGGACAATGACCGTGAGAAAAACTGAATAAATAAAGCCACATTTGCATTTTAAAAGTGTCTGAGGTCATTAAAGAATGAATGATCAGACACGTCACACAAACCCAAGAGGAGATTCAGGAGATTCACTATTTTATTAGAAATATATTTTGTAATAATTTATCATTTATAAGACACACTGAGACAATTTTGGTAACACAGATATTTTAGAAGAAATTTCTTTGGTTAAATTTGATGTCAAGAAATAAAAGCACTGCCTGATTTATACGTTTGGCCAGTAGTGTATTAAAGGGCCCATATGCTACAATTTTCTTGTCTTTTTTCCCTTGAGCTCCACTGACGACTTTCATGTGATGTATCAAAAACAGTCATAATGCATTTCTGCATGACCACTGTATCCCTTAGAATTTAACTGTGTTCTTGACTGAACCTTCATATGCAAATAAGCTCTGTTCTGGTTGGCTGTCCTGTATAGTGTCTTGTTCAGAAAGCAGTCCAGGCTGAAACACTCCATATAAATTAAGTGTTGGGGGCATGGCTAAACTGCTGTAGAGGAGTAGGAGGATACAGCCACAGTGGATTCCACCTGTAGATGGAAATTAAGAGGCAGCTGCTCCGTCGAAGGCCAAAGACTTACCAGTTAAACAAAAAACAAAATTAAACTGATTGATCGTTGTTTCTTTGAGTTCTTGTAAATCTGAGTTTAATAAAATGAATGTGTTACTATACACAGTAAGGGAGGGAGAGAAAGAAGCTGAAGGAGACTGACAGGACTGAAGGAGCAGATCTGATGGAGGTTAGTCATCAAGAAGAAAGTGAGGGAGTGTTTAAGCTTGTGGTTAAAATTAAAACAAATTAATTTTACTGTCACCAGTTTATTAAACATGCCTACAGAGCAAAATCACACTCTTTCTGATGGCACCAACTAAGACTGAACTGATCTACACCTCCTTGTTTCTACACTCATTGTCCATTTTATTAGCTCCACCTGGAGCTGAAACTCAAGAGAATGTGGGTCATGCAGCAAGACAACGACCCTCAAGCACACAAGTCGTTCTACCAATAAATGGATAAAGAAGAAAGTTAAAGTTAATGTTTTGGAATGGCCAAGTCAAAGTCCTGACCTTAATCTTGTGGAAGGACCTGAAGCAGCAGTTTGTTGGAGGAAACCCACCAACATAACAGAGCTGAAGCTGTTTTGTACAGAATTCCACCAAGCCGATGCGCAGAACTAATCAACGGTTGCCGGAAACGTTTAGTTGTAGTTATTGCTGCACAAGGGGGTCACACCAGATATTGAAAGCAAAGGTTTACATACTTTTGCCGCTCACAGATATGTAATGTTGGATCATTTCCTCTCAACTAATAAATGAGTCTAATTCTTTTCTAATTTGTTTAATTTGGTTCTCAAGCCATTTGTCCAGGACCTTCTTTTTATTTTGGAAAGTAGAGGGATGCATTCCTTTAAAAATCAAAGAAACTTACCTGTATCTTTCCATTTTTCTACAGCAGATGTTCAGGCTTTGGGCTGTAGGATGCTGACATTACTGCTACTAGGTTCTGATAGGTTAGCTGTAGGATTGGGCCTATAGACATCAGCATCGTGATGCCACGCTACACTAATAAACTATATTTATTACTCATTACTTAACCAGAGATCTGAACTGTTGAA